TCCGTACAGCACGTGATCTTCCGGTCGCCAGCCCTTATCTTTACTACAGCAAAGGACCGTTTTTATCCAAACACACTGCAAGCAGGTTTGGAAAGGTTCCCATCCTGAAATCTTTCTTATGGCTCATCTCAAAACAAACCTGAAGACAAGCAACAAAATGACCCTTAAAGGAACTGAGGTGGCAGCAGAAGAGCAGGGAGATTTTTCTCCCTGATTAGAAATGGGCAAAGAGGCCAGGATGAAAGCCAGTTTCTCAGCAGAGGATCAGAGCCCTGCAAGGAGGGAGCACAAGGACCCGCAATGCTCGATCTGTTCATGAATGAGCCAGAGAAGGAGGTAGACAGTGAGGTGACATCTTCTGCCAGTATCACGTGTTTAGGGTGATCAAAAAGGGACCTGATTTTGAAAAGATGTCAAAAGATTTGGCAATGAAATGACAAATTAAACACAGGGGTCGATGAACACAATGGAAATAAACTGTTCGGGGCACTGCTGGGCTTATGAGCTGGGTGCTGCTGCTCTGCGTAATGGGGAGCAGCACAGAAGTGGTAGCAGTTGTCAGGAAATGATAGCGAAACAGGAAACATCACCATACTGTAGTGTAAATCTGCACCCCTTGGACAGTGTGCACAGTTCTGCTCCCCGGCTCAGAAAGACCAAATGGAGACAACCCAAGATCTGGGACAGCTTCTGCATCAGGAGCAACTGAGTCAGGTGGGACTTTGCTGTCTGAAAAAGAGATTGTGCAGGGCCAGGGAGAATAACAGTCTATAAAGGCATGGAGAAGACATGGAGGAAATAAATATATTCTTTACTCTCTCTTAGTACAAGAAGGAGAGGTCAGCAGGTGAACTTACCATGCTCCAGCAAGCCCAGTGTTCATAGCAGGCTGTGATATTATTTGGGGGAAGAAGCAGGCTTTGCTAGGCATGCACTAGTCATGTGCTAGGCATGGGCTACTGGAGGAGCCCAGATAGTGGGTTTGTCTCCTCTCCAAGCTGGATCTCTGGTCCAGCTTGGCTCTGATGTGTTCAAAACAAGCGCGGGCCAGCCAACAGCAGTGCTTCTCCTTGCTTTGCAAGAATAACTGTATCCTGAAGGCCAATGGGCTGCAGGAGGAGATTTGAGAAGGACTGGTGACTCCAGCAGTCACCTCCCTCCCTTCAAAGGAAAGGGGATGCCTGATTTCCCCAGGGCTCATGGTCCCCCTGCTCACCCCAGGGCAGAGTGATAACAACCTGGAAACCCAGAATCCATCCCCTTCTCTGCAGGGATTCGACCAAACACATTCCACAGGCATCCAGCAGCCTCCATAAATACCCCACTGGGTCCATTCCAGCCAAGCCAGGTGCCCTCTCCCTCCCAGCATCAGCCCGTGCATCACCAATGCACTGTAACTGAGACCTACTGCAAGTGCCTGGCAAGTGCCCCATTTTTTCATCTCCCATCTGTGAGGCAGGTGAGCCTTTGGGTTTTGGAGGTAACGCGCTCATGGTGACGAGCTGAAGCAGGATTGCTGGCCAGTGTGGCTAGCCCAACCACTCAATTAAAATGAATTATAATGCAGCTACTCTCAGTCCCAGTGCTGGGCAGCTCACAGCAGCACAGCTGGTGATGTCTGCAATGAAATTTGTGCCAGTTTTGCCTGGACAGTAATGCCTGGATCAAAGGAGCTTGTGAAGAAATTAAATGCAGTATGGGTAGGTTCCCTGTGCCTGCCTGTTATAAATACACACCACAAATGTTAACTTTTAGGCTTAAATTCCACCTTCTGAATGAGCTGTTATTTCAGCACAGCCAAGCAGCCAGATGAGATCCTTGCTTTTGTATTTTGATGAGTAAAGAGGGTATGACATCTTGGATGTCTCTGATCCAGCCCAGAGTTTTCTTCTGCACTTAATCAGCTACGGTCCCCGTACCTGAGCCCTAATGTGGAGCAGCAGGAGGCTTCAGGTATTGATCAGGGAGTGCAAAACCTTTACCGAAAAGTGCCTGGCATCCTCATGGAGCAGTTCGAGCTTTTTCAGGATGTCTGTGGTGCTAGAGGGGTGGAGAGCATCATTTGCAGTGTAACCAGGTGCAGTGCTCACCCACTTTCCAGGGCAGCACATCCCTCCCAAATTAGGGTTCTTCTTTCCCAGATTAGGTGTTAAACTTGGTGGTAGAAACCCAGCAGCCACCCTGAAATGCTGCTTCTGAAAGAAACAGAATGCTGCTGATGGGCACCATCTTGGGTCATTTCTGGGGTATACCTTCCCCCTTTGCAGGGCAGAGAGTCCTGGGGAGGCAGGAATGAGAAGCTGTTGCCTCCACCAGGCATCTCTCCAGATGTCACAGCTCCTGGCCTTGCCGAGCCCCATTGCTAATCTGCTGCTCAGATTCAGCCCTATGCGTTGCTCCTTCCTTAGTCTCAGCTTGGATACCCTGTGAGCAGATGCCAGTAGCTATTATGATCTGTAGAGCAATGATCTGTTTTTGGAAGAGCAGTAACAAACTGCAGTTCTAAGGAACCAGCTTTCTACACTGCTCGAGCTCCAGCTTTCTCAGCTTGTTTACCAAGAGCCAAAGCCAACTTTAACACAGACCAGAGATCACAGCTGGCAGAATCGGACCCTGACAGCAGACCATATCCATAAAGGGTGTGCAGGAGGTTTCATCTGAACACAAGCTTTTGGTCTCATGCTTCAAGGTCATTGGCAGGGCAAATAATAGCTACTCACCAACTCCTTTGCAGTTGAAATGCAAGAAGGGTCATGGCATGCGACAACGGCCCATCTGCTGCTGAAAAGCATCCTCCAAACCAGTACCTGCACACAGGGTGCTGCAGGAGGTTGATATACAGCTGACAATGTTGAGAGAAGGGCTAAGGTTGAGTGGGACTGTGGGATCCCATTGGGAAATGGTTTTCCCCAGGAAATCCATGAGATGAGCTGCCATGGGCCTCCCTGGGTCAATTTGAGGGGCAACCATGGAGGGTGCTAGAAAAGCACCATTTAATCAGAAGCTGAGCCAAAGGCACGTATGAAGGCTGCAGTGAAAAAGTAGAACAGCCTTTCAATCCAGTTATCAAAGCAGCAGCAGGCCGCGTTTTAAGGTAGACAAGACAGCAATCAGGAAGGAGAAATATTCCCAGAGCAGCACTACAGCAGGCAGGCTGCAAATGCATCTGTTACTAACCTCATTAATAGCAAGGTGTCACAAAAAAGGGGAAAACCCCTTTCCCGAAACTTTGGGGGGCCAGACTCTGCCTGCAGTGCAGAGGAGCGCCTCTCCCCGCCCGGGGGACCGCTGCTTCGCTCTGGATTCACAGTGCTGGAAGCAAGAGCAGGATCCAGCCCTGCAGCCCTTTTAACATCAAAAAGAAACATTTGTTTCTTTGATTTTTTTAAAAAAACAAGCCTCAGACAATAGCCTTAGTAACTTCTTGAAGATTTGGATTTCTTTCCCCTTTTTTACAAATGATAATTTCAGGCTGATGAAAGGGGAGTAAGGTAACACATTGAGTACACAAGTTATCTGCACAGAGGGAAAGTGGCTGAGGCCCAGGAATGCAGGATGCTGCTCCAAGCCTTCCCCACCTACTGATGCCACATCATTGCCCTGGGCTGCAGTTTCCTCCTGTGACAAAGGACACTTGTTTCTGGAAAAGCAGGGTCAGGTGAGGAGGTCACTTGGCAGACACTTTTCCATGCCCCTGCAGCTCTCCAAGGACATTTCACAAGGCAAGGCTTCCTTCTTGGCACTTTCTTAGCTGCAGGAAAAACATCTGGCCTCACCCCTTGGCAGAGAGATATCTCCCTTATCCTTCCCATCAAGTCAGGCAGACAATTTTAGCAGAGACCCTGCTCCTTAGGAGCCAGAGGGTAGCCCACCAATTCACTTTGGCCACCCTGTTGTCCCAAAAACATGCGGTGTGCGTCACCCAATTCACACACAGAGTCGAGGTATTTTCCTTTATTACATAAATGCACAAATACGGGTGCATGGTACAAACCAGCACACCGCTGGTATAAACTAACAGTTATTTATACAATCATCTAATACATATTCGTTGTCACTTTATTAAACGATTGGTTAAAATTCTTCGCCTGCCATGTAAGTTACTACACACACTCACTATGATTCTCGAGACCTTTACTTCCTTAACCTTTTGGGTGGGTGGGTTTCTTGAGCGGGTGGTCCTTGAGTCGGTGGTCCTGATCTCCCCCTGCCGGAATAACCTTTCCCCTAAGTTCGCTTAGCTTTGGCAACACTAAGCAGTCCTTTACGGACCGTTAGCGAAGCAAACCATCATTCACTTTAGGGTTCTTTGTTCTGAAACATATATCCTGTTTCATGATGCCATAGTATTGTTAGGGTAAAATGAGCAAGGTTAATCTTTACCAACATCAACATCTGAATCGCTGAAAGAAATGTTTGATTGGTAAAATGGTTTTGTACCTGAATTTTAGGTGGGAGAGGAATAGCTCCATTAAAAATTTGTCTTTCATATTAAGTATTTCATTCTGACTGTATCGAGTTAAATCAGTACTAGCTTAAAACTGTAAATTGTTTGTCTTTGTACATGCTGCAAAGTATTTTAAAACAATTCTATTTAGGAACAGATAGTATTACCAGGCAGGAATCTAGAGAGGAGAAAAGAAATCTGTTAACTCTGGGCACTTTTCCAGGGGAGTAATTTTTTAACGATTTTTGAGAGCATGGAAGACAATTGTATGCTGGTATGAACAATATATTTCTACCAAATCAAAAATGGGCTGCTTCGTCATTACACCAGGACCCAGTTTGCTTGTGGTTTTCTTTGGGTTTTTGTTTTTTTTTTTTTTCATAATGATAACAAGCTGAGGTTGGGAATATACTGAAAGGACACATACAAATGCTAGTAATACTGCGAATGGTGTTGAACTAACAGGTTTTGATCTTGACTGGAGAATTATGGTTTATAATGAATGTTTCAGCGAAGCAGATTAGTTGACTCTCTATTTTTCTTCCTTTTCCAGGCTCAAATTTGAATCGCTGTGGATTCAGAGGCTCTTCATATTTAGGGATGCCATTCAATCCATCCAAGGTTAGTTAAGCGTGGGGGAAAAAGATTTTCAATTAGGCAGTAAATGATCGTGTGTCTTTTTTATAATATTAACTACAGAATTGTGGAAAATCTGGGAAACGGGGTGTGTTGCACGGGTAGTATACTGAAACAATTGCAGAGATTTTAAAAACGTGCAGTACTCTTAAAATGGTACTGCTTGTGTTTCCAGGGGCAGTGACGTGCAAATTGTGGTTTGTCTCAGTGCACTTCTCTGATCTATAACTGGGGAGGGGAAACTTCTCCAGATCAACAACTGTCTGTGGACCTGGAAGTGAAGGGCAGAACAGCTCTGTATCAGGTGGTACAGCACATGCTGTTCTTCAGTGTTCCTCTTCCTTTGATGAAACATGGGGTGTTTGATTGTACCTGGTATCCATTCAAACGGTGAGCCCTTCAGTGATGGTAGGAGCACGCTGCGGAGGCAGGAAGATGCAGCTTGGGGTGGGGAAGGAGAGAGTGCATGATGATGCAGCAGGATTAGGACTGGGGTACCTGAACAGGCAAAACCAGTCCCTAAGCCAGGACCAGCTGCGACAAGGCTCAGGAGAAGCTGGGAGACCCAAGGGCTCACAAGTGACACAAGTTCCCAGACCTCAGCTCTCACCACCCTCAGGTGACTCCTCTCCCTGGCTTCACACAGCAGAGCCGAGGTCTGGCTCCACTGCTCCCTGTCATGACGTCTCCTTGGCTCTTTGCTTGTAGCATGCCTCGGGGCACAGTGTGAGAGGCAACCAGCGGCCAGTCCTGGGGACGGCCCGGCATGGGTCCCCACGGCTCCCCACCACCCCCCTCCAGCCGTGCTCGCCTGCTCCAAGTGAGGTCCCACTGCGCCTGCATCTTGTAGCCCGCCATGAACTTGCAGGCGGTGGCGGAACAGAGCAGCGGGCGGTAGTAGTGGGCATGGAGCTGCCAGTGCCTGCAGTCCTCCTCCAGGTAGAGGCCCGTGGGGGCTCCTGCTGGGGGTGCAGCCGCTGCATGAGCCCCAGGGAGGGGATGAGGACGCAGATGAGAGGGTCTTGAGGGGTCACCCAGCCACGCCACTCACCATGCCAGCCCACGGAATACGGGAAGGAGACTTCAAAGAGGTGGTTGTACTTGATGAGTAGCCTCTGCATGATGGAGGCCGGGCCTGCAGGAGGGTGCTGGCGAGTCGCACCCTGAGCTGGTCAGCCCCCACTGAGGGCAGGCAGCATGCCCAGCTGGGGGAGGGGGTCAGCCTCGGCACCCCTCCCTGGGTCGACATCGGTGACAGGCAGGAGGGATGCACTGGCCAGTCCCCTCCCCATCCATGCAGACAGCCTGAGCAACACAGCAGGAGGAGCTTCCATTCCTAATCAGCTGGCACCCCAAAAATATGGGGCACCACATGGTTCATCACCCCAAAAAGGATGACAGTCCCCCCACTGGTACAGCCTGTGCCTGGATGCACGCCCTGGCATAACAGAGGTGCCCATCCCCCCCAAGCCAAACCCAGCAACCCTGCACCCCAGGGGGGACATGGACCCTCTGGCACCAGCGAGGCTGCTGCAGAGCTGCCTCCTAATGAAGGCCGAGCCCAAAGGACGTGGGATGGGGGCTGGCGGGGGGGGGGGCTGGCGGAGTGCGGAGCCACTCACTGTCCCTCTCGCCCTTGCAGAGGTCCTGGGGTGGCAGACGTGGCAGCGGGCAGCAACAGGATCTGGAAGGGCCAGGTGGCCCAGTACAGCACCATGACTAGCCAGCCCACATTCTCCACCACCAGCCACTCCTGCGGGACACTGTGCTCAATAGGAACACGCTCAGCCCCGATGCCCCGGAGGTGGGTGCTCCTGGGGGCCCTGCTTTTGGGGCCTGGGGGGCCCACCCCAGCACACATCCAGCTCCCGGGAAAGAGATGACAACTGCATCCTCACCTTCCAGCAAGCCTCCTGCTCAGCATACTCCAGCAGCATGGGCACGCTGTGCTGGCTCAGCTGCTGCCACTGGGTCTGGTCCTCCAGGCGCACCTCATTCAGGAGGAAGCTGCTGGTGCACACCTGGGAGGGACATCAGGGCACAGAGCCAGGTTACCTACCCAAGCCCCCTGCTATGCCACCCTGCATCATCACCCAGCCCAGAGACCCCAACACATCCCTCTGCAGTGCCTCACCATCCCCTGGGCACTCTGGACTCATGCCACAGCCCCCCCCACACCTAAACCCTGCCAAGCTGGGAGGATCCAGCCATGCCACCCCCACATGGGGTGCCGGTACCCCCATTTGCAGGGGTGCTCCAGCCATGCTACCCATCTGCAGGTCCATGCTGCCACCAGGCAGAGAGCCCAACATGCAGCAGCTGCAAGGGATGGTCCCCAGGAGGGGAGGTGACAGGACAAGTATGGGGGGGATCCTCGCTGCAGAAAGCTTTGGGACCAGGGGGGTGATTCCTGTTCACATCTTCCACCTGGGTTTGTTGTAGGTTGCCCACAGGGACTCGCAGTTAAGCTAGGTCACAGGTGGGACAGCCACCTGGCAGTGGGGGTGTGGGTTGGAGCAGTCCATCATTGCTTCCTTGTTCTCGAAGATCTGCAGAGGAAGAGGTGCAGCCAGTAGGTCCCAGTCCCGGGTTGCCACGGTGTCCCCGGTGCACCAGGAAAGCAGAGCCTTGCAGCTGCCTGGAAAGGCTAAAGGGGGCACAAGGTGGGGATGGGGGACCCACATGTGGCTGGGAGGGTGCTGCCAGAGCAGCCTCCCACCTCTGCCCGAGCCCCCCGGGGCAGGGAGAGGACAGCCCCTGCCAGCCCCAGACCTTCACCCAGGGGTAGGAGGCACCCAGCTTGGCCAACAGCTCTGCCCACACATTGATGATGGCCCAGATCTCTGCCAGAGACATGAGGGGCAGTGTCAGATCCAACCAGGGTTGAAAGCACATCACCTTGCTGCAGAGGAGACACACATGGCTGGGGTTTCGGGGCATCCTCAGGGACCCCTGTGGCCTTGCTGGGTCACAGAGGGACAGGGGAAGCTGAACAGGGATGAGACCCCTGAAATCCCCCAAAACAGAGCAGGCATGCACAGAACAGGCACCACAAGGAGGGGTGCGGGCTTAGTCCTGCTTCATCCCATGTGTCCTGGCTGACATCGCAGCCCGGAACCCCTGGAGCCATGGAGGTACTCACCACATGCCCTGGGCTGCTGCTGCTTGAAACAAGGGGTGATCGCTGTCACCCGGGGAAGGACAGAGAGCAGGGAGGGACAGGGGACCAGGGCAGCACCCATGCCCCTCCAGCCCACCCTACAGCACCCCCCAGGATCTGAGCCTGGGGGTCCTTGGCAGCCTGCTCTCCCCCCAGAAGTTACCAGGCTTGGAAGCATTGGGCTGCAGTGCGGGGCGTGGGGAAGTCATTTGGGAAGACAAAGGTGCCCTCATACTGGGGCACCCAGATGGAGTCGGGGGGGACAGGGTGGCAGGGGAAGCCTGGATGCCTGGCAGTACCTCGTCATTGGCCCAGGTGGCCCAGGGGCAGAGGGGGTTGTTGGGGTCCCAGCAGGGCACATCCTCGGGTATGGCTTCTCTAGCTGCCCCTGCCAAAGGCACTTCACCCGGTGGGCTGACACCAGCACCCAGTCATCCTGCAGTGGGTTGTAACAAGCATGCTGGTGCTCTGTGGGGAGAGAGGAGCGGGGTGTCAGGGAGGGAGGGACATGGGAGGCAGACCCCATGGGCCAGGCACCCCTCACCCACCATGCCCCCTCCTCGGGCAACCTGAGCTTGTGTCCAGCTCTGGGGTCCTCAATACAAGAAGGACGTAGACCTGTTGGAGAGGGTCCAGAGGAGGGCCACAAAAACGATCAGAGGGATGGAACACCTCTGCTATGAGGACAGGCTGAAAGAGCTGGGGTTGTTCAGCCTGGAGAAGAGAAGGTTCCAGGGAGACTTTGTTGCGGCCTTTCAATACTTAAAGGGGGCTTATAAGAAAGATGGGGACAGACTTTTTAGTAGGGCCTGTAACGATAGGACAAGGGTAATGGTTTTAAACTAAAAGAGGGTAGATTCAGACTAGATATAAGGAAGAAATTTTTCACGATGAGGGTGGTGAAACACTGGAAGGGGTTGCTCAGAGAGGTGGTAGATGCCCCATCCTTGGAAACATTCAAGGCCAGGCTGGACGGGGCTCTGAGCAACCTGATCTGGTTGTAGATGTCCCTGCCCATTGCAGGGGGGTGGACTAGGTGACCTTTAAAGGTCCCTTCCATTCCAAAGCATTCTATGATTCTATGAACCCTGCAAGAGGGTCTACACCCC